GTCCCTTGGGTCTCCGCCTCTTTTGCGTGGCAGGCGTGGCACAATGTGCACTGCCAAGGGGTCGGATGTACGCCCTGGCGTCCCTTGGTCTCCGCCTCGTTTGCGTGGCAGGCGTGGGACAATGTGAGCAGCCAAGGGGTCGGATGTACGCCCTGGCGTCCCTTGGTCTCCGCCTCGTTTGCGTGGCAGGCGTGGGACAATGTGCACCGCCAAGGGGTCGGATGTACGCCCTGGCGTCCCTTGGTCTCCGCTTCGTTTGCGTGGCAGGCGTGGGACAATGTGCACTGCCAAGGGGTCGGATGTACGCCCTGGCGTCCCTCCGGTGTCCCTCCGGTGTCCCTTGGTCTCCGCCGCTTTTGCGTGGCAGGCGTGGGACAACGCGCACTGCCAAGGGGTCGGATGTACGCCCTGGCGTCCCTCCGGTGTCCCTCCGTCTCCGCCTCTTTTGCGTGGCAGGCGTGGGACAATGTGCACTGCCAAGGGGTCGGATGTACGCCCTGGCGTCCCTTGGGCTCCGCCTCTTTTGCGTGGCAGGCGTGGGACAATGCGCACTGCCAAGGGGTCGGATGTACGCCCTGGCGTCCCTTGGGCTCCGCCTCTTTTGCGTGGCAGGCGTGGGACAATGTGCACTGCCAAGGGGTTGGAGTACGCCCTGGCGTACCTTGGGCTCCGCCTCTTTTGCGTGGCAGGCGTGGCACAATGTGCACTGCCAAGGGGTCGGATGTACGCCCTGGCGTCCCTTGGGTCTCCGCCTCTTTTGCGTGGCAGGCGTGGCACAATGTGCACTGCCAAGGGGTCGGATGTACGCCCTGGCGTCCCTTGGGTCTCCGCCTCTTTTGCGTGACTCACTCACACGCACTCACTCACCCACCCACCCACCCACCCACCCACCCACTCACTCACTCACTCACTCACTCACTCACTCACTCACTCACTCACTCACTCACTGACACTCACTCACACTCACTCACACTCACTCACTCAAACTCACTCACACTCACTCACTCACTCACTCACTCACTCGCTCGCTCGCTCGCTCGCTCACTCACTCACTCACTCACTCACTCACACTCTCACACTCTCACACTCTCACACTCTCACACTCTCACACTCTCACACTCACACTCACACTCACACTCACACTCACACTCAGTCTCACTCACACTCACTCACTCACTCACTCACACTCACTCACACTCACTCACACTCAGTCTCACTCACACTCACTCACACTCACACTCACACTCACACTCACACTCACACTCACACTCACTCACACTCACTCACTCACACTCACTCACTCACACTCACTCACTCACACTCACTCACTCACTCATTCACTCACTCACTCACTGCATCTTTTGCGTGGCATTTGCGAGGCAGGCACTGCCAAGGGGTCCGATTTACGCCCTGGCGTCCCTTGGGTCTCCGCCTCTTTTGCGTGGCAGGCGTGGCACAATGTGCACTGCCAAGGGGTCGGATGTACGCCCTGGCGTCCCTTGGGTCTCCGCCTCTTTTGCGTGGCAGGCGTGGGACCATGTGCACTGCCAAGGGGTCGGATGTACTCCCTGGCGTCCCTTGGGTCTCCGCCGCTTTTGCGTGGCAGGCGTGGGACAATGTGCACTGCCAAGGGGTCGGATGTACGCCCTGGCGTCCCTTGGTCTCCGCTTTTGCGTGGCAGGCGTGGACAATGTGCACCGCCAAGGGGTCGGATGTACGCCCTGGCGTCCCTTGGTCTCCGCCTCTTTTGCGTGGCAGGCGTGGGACAATGTGCACTGCCAAGGGGTCGGGTGTACGCCCTGGCGTCCCTTGGGCTCCGCCTCTTTTGCGTGGCCGGCGTGGGACAATGTGCACTGCCAAGGGGTCTGATGTACGCCCTGGCGTCCCTTGGGGCTCCGCCTCTTTTGCGTGGCAGGCGTGGGACAATGTGCACTGCCAAGGGGTCGGATGTACGCCCTGGAGTCCCTTGGTCTCCGCGTCTTTTGCGTGGCAGGCGTGGGACAATGTGCACCGCCAAGGGGTCGGATGTACGCCCTGGCGTCCCTTGGTCTCCGCCTCGTGTGCGTGGCAGGCGTGGGACCATGTGCACTGCCAAGGGGTCGGATGTACGCCCTGGCGTCCCTTGGTCTCCGCCTCGTTTGCGTGGCAGGCGTGGGACAATGTGCAATGCCAAGGGGGCGGATGTACGCAACAATGTGCACCGCCAAGGGGTCGGATGTACGCCCTGGCGTCCCTTGGTCTCCGCCTCTTTTGCGTGGCAGGCGTGGCACAATGTGCACTGCCAAGGGGTCGGATGTACGCCCTGGCGTCCCTTGGTCTCCGCGTCTTTTGCGTGGCAGGCGTGGGACAATGTGCACCGCCAAGGGGTCGGATGTACGCGCTGGCGTCCCTTGGTCTCCGCCTCGTTTGCGTGGCAGGCGTGGGACAATGTGCACTGCCAAGGGGTCGGATGTACGCCCTGGCGTCCCTTGGTCTCCGCCTCTTTTGCGTGGCAAGCATGGGACAATGTGCGGGGTCGGATGTACGCCCTGGCGTCCCTTGGTCTCCGCCTCGTTTGCGTGGCAGGCGTGGGACAATGTGGGTCGGATGTACGCCCTGGCGTCCCTTGGTCTCCGCCTCGTTTGCGTGGCAGGCATGGGACAATGTGCACTGCCAAGGGGTCGGATGTACGCCCTGGCGTCCCTTGGTCTCCGCCTCTTTTGCGTGGCAGGCATGGGACAATGTGCACCGCCAAGGGGTCGGATGTACGCCCTGGCGTCCCTTGGTCTCCGCCTCGTTTGCGTGGCAGGCGTGGGACAATGTGCACTGCCAAGGGGTCGGATGTACGCCCTGGCGTCCCTTGGTCTCCGCCTCTTTTGCGTGGCAGCTCAGCACCTCCGTGAGCAACTACTCCAAGGCAGGCTCTTGCCTCTGGGCTGCAGCTCCAGTTGAGGGAGTTTTGATGATTGCTTTCAACTTACAGCTTCCAACGTTTGTTTCTGCGAACTTTGCTTTCAACGGGCTTGGAAGCCGGGGTCACCGTGAGGTCTGTACGTCATGTAAGTCACTATTGAAGATGCTTTCTGATTTGGTAATGATGACGGAACTTTCTTTCCGGTAGGTTGAGCTCCGGGCATTTGCGATGGAGGGAAAGAACAGGTTCATCTTCGGTCCTGTTTCATTATCGATCTGCAGGTACTGACCAGAGATGCTCTCGCAGCTGGCTGAGCCGCGTGCAGTACATATGCAAATATGTTCCCACCTGCTTCAACACTGAGGTCGATGCCTTCGTCCTTACCAAACGGTTCGGTCCGGTAGGTTGAGCTCCGGGCATTTGCGATGGAGGGAAAGAACAGGTTCATCTTCGGTCCTGTTTCATTATCGGTCTGCAGGTACTGACCAGAGATGCTCTCGCCGGTGGCTGAGCCGAAGCAGTACATATGCAAATATGTTCCCACCTGCTTCACTACTGAGGTCGATGCCTTCGTCCTTACCAAACGGTTAGGCTTCGGTCGAGCCGACACCACGTTGGCCGGTGGTGGGGACATTAATGGGAGGCCACAACACACAAAACAAAAACAGAACACACAACTCACTCACTCATTCACTCACTCACTCACTCACCCACTCACTCACTCACTCACTCTCACTCACTCACTCACTCACTCGTTCACTCCCTCACTCACTCACTCACTCATTCACTCATTCACTCATTCACTCACTCACTCACTCATTCACTCACTCACGCACTCACCGGACTGCACTAAATCAAATCCCTCAATTAACTCAATAACTAAATCAAGTACTCACACAACTCACTCAATCCCTCTACTCACTCCCTCACTCACTCCCTCCCTCACTCACTCACTCACTGTACTTGAACATACATACACACACACACAAACTCACCTACCTACATACATACCTACATACATACCACCATCGTCCCTCCATCACTCTCATACTTCCTCTTCCCTTCTCGCTTTCTCTGCTCAGTCTAAGTCGAAAGAAGTTGGTAACATGTGGGGTTATCCGGTCCTTTAATTTTAATATAATGTCGCTTTTCTTTTACTCGCTTCCATCTGGGATGGCAACTTCCACGTTTGGAGTTGCTTTCAAGCCATAGGTCTTCGCTGGAAACTGAGGTGTAAAGTTGCTTTATGGTTTACCATACCCCTACAATGTGGCCCCCCCAGTTATAACTTGGTTTATAAACCCTACTCACTATAGTTACACGTATCACAAACCATAGTTTTTGGAGTTATGCACCAACTTAGCTATTTAGGGGGCCCCACTTTTAACTGGTAAAATTGGGCGCAGATGATGATGTTTGGATTTAAACTGCTAGTGGGGTAGTGGATGCGGGAATGTATGACCTCCCCAAAAGATAGAAAAACATGAAATCCTACTAAAACAGTGGTATATAAACGACATGTCTTTTTTAAAGTGGGCTTTACTATACACAAAAGAAACATGTCTCAGTTCAAACCAGACTTTCTGACCATGGTAATGGCTCGCTTGACTACAGACATGCTTCCAAGAATCTGATGTGTTTTTTTTCTTACCCATACGGCCCATACGTGTTGCTTAATTTCCCCCAAGAAAAAACGGTTGATTCTATAGCCACCCAACAATTACTATTACATAGCTACAACAGTTCTCAATATCTGTGGTATAGTGGTATAGGATTTAAGCTGTTATGAAAATACAATAGTCTGACAATACTTTTCACATCTTTAGATCATGCCATTGGTGTATCCCCAATTGATTCTATGCCCATTCAACAAACATTTTTTCCTGGATATACCCAACAATTATCATCATTATCACAATCCAAAAAAAACATGATCTTGGCTATAGAATGCTACTGTAGTATCTGGTTGACTTTATAATTCTTGGGTATACCATTCCAAAAACCCATAAAAATGGGATACGTGGATCACTAAAAAAAACATGATACCCAAGGGATGCAAAATGGGATGCCTGGTACATACCAGCCATAGGAAAAACATGGAAAAGCCATGAACTTCCCGGATCCCCGTCACGTCACGTCACGTCAGTCCTACTCGGATCCTCAGCTCCGTGCCGCCGGAACCTTGCGACGCTACAAGAAGCGATGTCGGCAATCCCAAAGTCGTCACCATGGGATGCAAAAAGGGATACGTTTCACTACTCAGTTACTAAGTCATGCTGGATTTTTTGAAGATTTGGGGACATATGGCTGAAAAATCGTGACTCAAGAGGCTTTTCGTATGTTTTCGTGGGGATTTAATGATTGAAATGGTTTTTAAACCCCAATAGGTGGTATGATATGTGCAATGGTAACCCTTGAGGGTTATGGCATTGGCTTTTACCACATTTCAAGAACCATGTGTGCAATGCACAAGGCTTGCTCATTTGGTGTGTTGTGCGATTGGCCATAGCCAACACACCGTTATCATGACACAGATGGATCAATCTGGAAATGGGAGGTACCGAAAATGTTATAGCTATTTTGAATCTATTTTGATGATGCTCAACCTTAGGATTTGGGGGAAGCCCCGAATGGCTTGCGACCGGGCAAGCTGCTATGGAGCTCCATGATCTCAGGAACACGTGAGGTGGGTGGCCGACCACTACTGACCCAGATACCTATCGAATGCGTCAATTGATGAACCAATTTGATGTAGCGCACGATGGTATTCCTCTGGAATTTGACACAGACAGCGAAGACCTTCCACAAGAATCTGGATCTAAACCTGAAGCTCCAGAACTGGAATTTGAACCTCCTTCTCCTCCCATCACCTTTCGTCCGGCGTGGGATAATGCGAGAGGTCGCAGAATTGTCATTGGAGGACACGGTCAAAGTGGAAAATCGCAATCGGTCCATGCTATCATTGATGCTTTTGAGCTTGAAACATACGTATGTCCAATCTAACAGAAAAGTGTGGGTGTACACGGATAATCCCGACTCTCCGACAAACCTAGCCATGTAAGTGGATATGGAACTCTCAGACTGAGGAACTAAGTAAGGGGGATCCACAATTATAAAGCATCCCCATCTTGTGGTTCATGGAAGGAATGGATGTGAAATTGGGGATACCCTTGAGTGAGTGGATGGATTAGTTTTCCTTTATGTTTGGGGATGGTTGATTTTTTGTGCCGACATTGTAAAATGTCTGTAGGCATTTCAGCACAACGGGACCCTGCTACACTTTCAAACACATGGTTACTTATTTACTAACTAAACCATATCACAGGAAAGGCCATATCGCAGGAAATTCCCAAATTATGTTTAGGTTAAAACCTTATTCTGATGCGCTGACAACATGCAGATACATATATATATATATATATATATTCAACCATTCAAAATCCCAAATTCCTTGCACCCACAGAGATTTGAACCGATGAATTCTTGGGTAAACCTGCTGAACAGCTGAACGATGAACAGATGACCTGCTCCCGAGTTCAGTAGGACAGTACCCCTGTTATTGGTGATGGGCCCATGATTGGAGGATGAACCAATCCTTAATTTGGGGAAAAAGATGCTATCCAGGTCTTATCCCATTGGATTTTGGACATGTTGTCATCGATTCCCCGAAGTATGCTGCACCATGCACCGGTTCAACCTACTGCAGGCGGCAAGGCAGACCCTTTACCATCTCCTGTCCAAACTCGGGCAACAGAAATCCCATTTACCTGGAAATGGATCTCATATGTTTTTTGGCAGGTGACATTCTCATTTCTGTGAAGTCCCAGAGATGAGACTTTGCCAATAAAATCTCAGATTCGTTGAAAAGATTCAGGTACCGGCGGGCAACGGAACAGAATGATTTCTGTGTGAATGTTCTCCGTTTTTCCAATGGTTTCTGGATTATGCGTCGTTATGTTCTGATCAAGAAATGGAAGTGTCCTAAAGTGGGTTTACCCCCAAATCAACCAAAATTAGACCATTTCAGTATTGAAACTCTGGTGACTTTTGATTTTTCATGACTTCATTGGTGATTTTCCACTTGTCCACTTGTGATGGAACCTGACATTGCCGAGGCATTGAGTTTGGACAATTTTCCTTTGGCGCCGGCGTCGGGTTCACAGCTGGGTGACCATTTTGCAATCTTCATGGGAATAGTATGGAATAGCGCTACTTTGTTGCTAATTAGATCTAATTAGCTAAATAGAACGAATACCAATTAGTTGCTCAGCTCATAGAACTTTTGTTGGATGGTGTATGATGGTATCCAAGTTTGCAATCTGCTGGAGAAGCCTGGGTCAATGGGTATGACTCAAACTTGAGGTATCCATTCACCCACCACAGCGGTCTGGTTCAGAATTAAGCCCGCCAAGTTTGGTGGCTAAGAATTACTCTGATCCATGCCACAATCGTTGATTCAGAAGGGTTTATGTTCAGCAAGAAAACGGGAACATCTCATTAGATATGTGCTTAAGTTGTTTTTGGTACAGTTCTCCATTCTGTTGGGTCATACTCCCAGATGTTAGATACAACCATATTTGCTGGTTGTTTTGAATCAAATCCCTGGTGCCCAGATTCTCTTCGCTTGCCTGCTGCTGAATCTGACGGCCGGTGCAAGGTGGGATCTTAGAGCATCCCCAAGAAGCAAAGCAATTGGCCACTGTAAATCGACCCAAGTTGGAGTACATGTTTTTAATCGATTATAGACGGCAAATTTGTGGATTGTTAATGCTTGGGGATCCCTCATCAAATGGTTTTGAAGTTGGTTTTTCTATTTTAGTTGGTATAGAATTGGCAATCACTGACCGTCAAATAACTTGAGGGATCATCATAGTGCGGGTCAAAACCCATGGGAACACTAACACTCGCAAAAATATGCAGAATAAATCGGGCTTACAACTGGTTAGTGGTTTGGAACATGAATTTTATGACTTTCCATATATTGGAAATTTCATCATCCCAACTGACGAACTCCATCATTGTTCAGAGGGGTCGGTCAACCACCACTGACGAAGTCCATCATTGTTCAGAGGGGTAGCTATACCACCAACCAGACAATGATGGACCCCCAAAGCAATAGCTGTCCAATTGAGATCGGCAATGGAAGGGTCGTTTGACCCAATTTCTGTGTGTTTGATAACTTGATTCCCCTATGGGTTTGTCTGAAAATCGAGTATACGCCCCACAAAAACAAGATGCAGCCCACGCATCCGAATGCTCACACGTATGTTAATGGTGATGATGTCGAAACACATTGAAATGCAGTCATGCAGAACACTTTTCTGAAACAGTTTATTATTTACACAGTCTTGTAAATTTAAAGTGTAAAGTGTAGAGTGTGGAGTGCAGAGTGTAAAGTGTGGAGTGTAAAGTGTGGAGTGTGAAGCGTGGAGTGGACACTGTGAAGTGTAGAATGCTGAGTGTAGACTGTAAAGTGTGGAGTGTAGAGTGTGGAGTGTAAAGTGTAAAGTCTGCAGTGTAAAGTGTAGAGTGTGGAGTGTGAAGTGTAAAGTGTAGAGTGTGGTGGAGTGTGGAGTGTAGAGTGTGGAGTGTGGAGTGTGGGGTGTAAAGTAGGGAGTGTGGAGTGTAAAGTGTGGAGTGTGAAGTGTGGAGTGAGGAGTGTACAGTGTAAAGTGTAGAGTGTGCAGTGAAGAGTGTAGAGTGTAAAGTGTAGAGTGTAAAGTGTGGAGTGTAAAGTGTGGAGTGTAAAGTGGACAGTGTGGAGTGAGGAGTGTAAAGTGTAAAGTGTGGAGTGCAGAGTGTAGAGTGTAAAGTGTAGATTGTAAAGTGTAGAGTGTGGAGTGTAAAGTGTCGAGTGTTGAGTGTAAAGTGTGGAGTGAGGAGTGAAGAGTGAGGGGTGTAAAGCGTGGAGTGTGGAGTGTAAAGTGTGGAGTGAGGAGTGTAGAGTGTAAAGTGTAGAGTGTAAAGTGTGGAGTGTGGAGTGTAAAGTGTAGAGTGTGGAGTGTGGAGTGTGGGGTGGTAAGTGTAGGGTGTGGAGTGTGGAGTGTGGAGTGTGGAGTGTAAAGTAAGGAGTGTGGAGTGCAAAGTGTGGAGTGTGAAGTGTGGAGTGAGGAGTGAGGAGTGTACAGTGTAAAGTGTGAAGTGTGGAGTGTAGAGTGTAGAGTGTAAAGTGTAGAGTGTAAAGTGTAAAGTGTAGAGTGTAAAGTGTAGAGTGTGGAGTGTAAAGTGTAAAGTGTAGAGTGTGGAGTGTGGAGTGTGGAGTGGAAAGTGTAGAGTGTGGAGTGTTGACTGTAGAGTTTACAGTGTAAAGTGTAAAGTGTGGAGTGTGGAGTGAGGAGTGTGGAGTGTGGTGGAGTGTGGAGTGTAGAGTGTGGAGTGCGCAGTGTGGGGTGTAAAGTAAGGAGTGTAAAGTGTGAAGTGTGGAGTGTTGACTGTAAAGTGTAAAGCGTGGAGTGTAAAGTGTGGAGTGTGGAGTGAGGATTGTGGAGTGAGGAGTGTGCAGTGTGGAGTGTGAACTGGGGAGTGTACAGCGTAAAGATGTGTAAAGTGTGGAGTGTAGAGTGTGGAGTGTAAAGTGTGGAGTGTAAAGTGGACAGTGTGGAGTGAGGAGTGTACAGTGTAAAGTGTAAAGTGTAGAGTGTGAAGTGTAGAGTGTGGAGTGTAAAGTGTAGAGTGTAAAGTGTAGATTGTAAAATGTAGAGTGTGGAGTGTTGAGTGGAAAGTGTTGAGTGTGGTGTGGAGTGGAAAGTGTAAAGTGTGGAGTGAGGAGTAAGGAGTGTACAGTGTAAAGTGTGGAGTGTAGAGTGTGAAGTGTAGAGTGTGGAGTGTAAAGTGTGGAATTTAAAGTGTGGAGTGAGGAGTGTGGTGTGAGGAGTGTAAAGTGTAAAGTGTGGAGTGTAGAGTGTAAAGTGTAGAGTGTAAAGTGTGGAGTGTGAAGTGTAGAGTGTGGAGTGTGGAGTGGAAAGTGTCGAGTGTGAAGTGTGGAGCGTGGAGTGTAAAGTAAGGAGTGTGGAGTGTAAAGTGTGGAGTGTGAAGTGTGGAGTGAGGAGTGTACAGTGTAAAGTGTGAAGTGTGGAGTGCAGAGTGTAGAGTGTAAAGTGTAAAGTGTGTAGTGTGTAGTGTGGAGTGTAAAGTGGGGAGTTGGGAGTGTAGAGTGTGGAGTGTGGAGGGTATAAAACAGGTTGGAATTGCACAAAGTGCCACGCCTGCCACGCAAAACGACATGACAACCTGCTTGAAAACCTTGGAAAAGTAGAGGTTTTGCAGCTTCCCTCATAGACACGGCGAGGCCACAGGAAAACCAGAGACTCGAGACGAGACGCATGGGAGCAGCAAAACGAGTATTTCATGCGAGACGTCCTGCAATTTTGACACTTTGGACACGGTTTGAAACATGTTGGAATGTCACAAAGTGCCACGCCTGCCACGCAAAACGACATGACAACCTGCTTGAAAACCTTCGAAAAGGAGAGGTTTTGCAGCTTCCCTCATAGACACGGCGAGGCCACAGGAAAACCAGAGACTCGAGACGAGACATGTGGGAGCAGCAAAACGAGCATTTCATGCGAGACGTCCTCCAATTTTGACACTTTCGACATGGTACAAAACAGGTTGGACTGTCACAAAGCGCCACGCCTGCCACGCAAAACGACATGACAACCTGCTTCGAAACTTCCAAAAAGGAGATGTTTTGCAGCTTCCCCCATAGACACGGCGAGGCCACAGGAAAACCAGAGACTCGAGACGAGACACGTGGGAGCATCAAAACGAACATTTCGTGCGAGACTTCCGCCAGTTTTCACAGTTGGAGACCTACGAAAAGGAGAGGTTTTGCAGCTTCCCCACAGGAAAACCAGAGACTAAATATCATCCTCTACTTCTCAAGAACCATTGCAACTCAGTACAGGCTTGTTTCAAGTTACCCTTTACTCTACTGGTTCGCCTTGAACTTTGATATTTTTTTATTTTGCTGTGTTTGAATTGCAGGAGCTTTGGACCACAGAAGGCTACTGGTCTGTGGATCAAGAGAGTCGGCAGCTAGTTCACATCAGTGGTCAAAAAGTGGCCTTGCCTGCAGAGATGCCAGCGGAGTGCGACATCTCAGAGAGCCAGCTGTGCTACAAGGCAACGGTGGGTGCTGGACTTGTCAGCATTCCTTGCGTGAAGATCCTGCAGAAGGATCCTGCAGCCCGTGCTCAAATTGAAGCGCCTTTTTGGCTTGAAGCTTGCCCGAATGATGCACAAGCACCAAGCAGCCCAGCCTCGACTTTGACCAGCACCTCGAGATCCACTGAGACTCCGCGCCCTCCCGTGCATGATGATGACGAGGCAATCCGCCGCGTGCCTCCACCACCAAGTGGCTTTGGTGGAAGTTTGGGATCAGCAGCCTGAGAGTGCAGCTTAGGAACCTCTAAATTTGCTACCTCAAAATCGATGTTTCGTGCGAGGCTTCCGTCAATTTTCAGCACATCTCACAAAATGCCACGCCTACCACGGAATCTGCACCTTGTCGCCACTTGACGCAGCCCTGCCAATGCGATTCGCAAAAAACACGCAACACGACACGTCTAAAGTTCTTTTTCCTGCCACGAAAAATGACGATGGACACGTCCAAAGTGCTGCGCCTGCCACGAAAAATGCAACACATCTTGCGAAGACGTCGCAAAAGTATTGCGCCTGCCACGCAAAACCATTTTCGACACGTTACAAAACACGTCTGAATGTCACGAAGTGCCACGCCTGCCATGCGAAACGAAGCAACGAGACGTTTGAAACCTCCAAAAAGGACCCCTTCTGCAGAACTTACCATAGGCACGGCCATAGGGCCCTCACGCGAACGGTTACGAACGGTTGCGGACGGTTGCGAACGTAAACGCAACGTCGAGCGAACACACCCTCAGCCCCCAGACCCCCAGAGTGAAACGGGAACCCTTGCCACGCATTCGGGAAAAAAATGCATTTCATTCAATAAGAAGACTGGTGATGAGCCAAGGGATTGGGGTGTATTTATTCCATTTTCAGGCACACCATATTAGAAAGTTCCCTGAATTCATTGATCTTCATCGCATGTGGGTCCATTGAGGCCCTAGCAACGGGAAATCACCTGTTCGTCCACTGACGCAGGTTGCTGCCCATCGAAATTGCTCCTTGGGAATTGAATCGCTGGCACGTGCGGCCAGCGTCACTCGGCGATAAGAGGCTGGTGGTTGACCACCGGCTGTTGCATTGGGTCACACCGGTTGTTGCCCTTAATTGACCAACTTGGATGTGTATCCCTGGTCCATATATGTTTGTGAACCAACTATATATATATATATGTGTGTGTGTGTATGTATCCATGCAAACCAGCTATATATCCATTCAACTTGTCCATTTTTTTTAGTTTTATGAGCTTTGTCAACCAATTTATACACCAACCATATGCCATTCAATGGGAGGATAAATCTGCCAAGGCCTAGACGTCCTGAAGCCGAAGAACGGCAGAAGGCGGGCAGAGGGTGGATCAGTAGGGTTTAGTAATCCCATCCTAATATAAAATGGGATATTGTTGATATAAAGTATTGGGATTTTATGGACATATCTATCTTGATTAGGGGTTGCAAAGCAACAAACACCACTGGGCGGCACCACTTTTTCAGACCAGTCCCCCGGCAGCTGCCTTCAAGCCTTCCTGAAATTGCCATGGCTGGTTGGTGGTTTGGAACATTTTTCCACATATTGGAAATTTTCATCCATCCCAACTGACGAACTCCATCATTGTTCAGAGGGGTAGGTATACCACCAACCAGTTAAGTAAATAAGCATGATAATCAATGGGATTAAACCATATTAAACCATGCTAACCATATATAGGGTAGGTATACCACCAACCAGATGGTGTTTGGGTTGCTTTCATCATTCCCATTCCCCAATTTTCAGGGACCAAGGCCATCATCTCCGTGATTTCTCCAGGCCTTGCGGCAGATGATGAACCAATGGGTTCTGGTGCCTTTCGGTTAGCGGGAATTGGGTACTTAAACTTCAATGGGGATAGGAGACAATAAGAGAGTGTTCCGGCAGCGTGGTATCCGCTCCACTGGCTGGGCAAAGATCGATAGGATCACTGCAGCCTATGACCGTCTGTGCCGGGCTGTGGTGACGACGGTGCACTTCACAAGCTTTGCTATCTGGTGCTCCACAGTGGCCCGGGCAAGGAGCGACAACTCACCGTCTTCGATCTTTTGTGCTGAGATGTGGGCCACGTCCAAGCCTTATCCTCCATCGGTGGTGACTTTCCTTCGTACTATGCAACTTCATGAGATCGATGAGCTCGTTGACCTGTTGGAGGAGGCCTTGGGCATGCTCAATGATTGGGCTTTCGAGCCATCGCCATTGCTCAATGAGGACAGACGTATCTTCCTCCGTACTTTGAAGTCAGCCACCATTGACATGCTCCTCCTGATCCGTGCTGCTGCAGTATCCAAAGCTCGGGGTGACTCTACGAGACTGGCGAGCCTGTTGGAAGTTTGAGCATAGCTTCCCCATCAGGGCCACTTTGACTTGACCGAGTGGCGTTTTTAGGTAGAAATGTTGGGATTTAACTATCACAAATGGGGAATACTATGGTGATAGCATGGGGAATCATGTTGATGAAAACAAACATTTGATCATAAGAAGCCACCACGCTGCTGATCCAAATCGAGCAGACTTATAAAGATCATCCATCATGGCATGAGAACACCATTTGTGCTCTCAGGGCAAGTGCGCCTATCTAAGAGGCTACTGACACAGAGGCGAACGTGGACCTCAAAGCTATGACAGAATGGCGCATTGCAAGGCGCGTTGAACGTGACCGACTCGGCCAGGTCCGGGCGCGCCCACTATCAGTCCGACTATTCCTATGCCAACTAACCCGACGATGATATGCAGCGTGGCCAGCTGTCAGTTTGTACACTGGATAAAACATGATAAAAGGGTATATAGAACCCATTTGATATGATTTTGGCAGTGTCCAGTCAAGGGATATTCACCCCCAACATATGGCAATTCAGGCGGAAAATGATGATAATCCTTTGGGTGCCCTGTTTTCGGACAAACCTGAATGTCATCCTGCATTTTTGGGGGGAGTACAGCATGCCGATTGGTCTTTGCATCCACATGGTCTTTGCAAAGATAGCTGTGCTGGTTGGTTTCAATCTAATCTGGAGGTGTGGTCTCTCCTATATTTAATATAATATAATATAATATTATATAATATAATATAATATAATTTGATATAATTTAATATAATATAATATATTATAATATAAAATAATATAATATCTTATAATGTAATTTAATATAATATAATATAACATCATATCATATATGATATATAATATATAATATAACATCATAAAGTATAATATTATTTTATATAATAGAATATTATATTATATTATATTAAAATATATCATATCAAGATTTATTATACTATATTAGATTAGATTACATTAGATTACATTACATACATACATACACACAAATATGTAAATATATACATACATTTAAATATATATATATATGCATATGTACATATATGCAAGACAGTGTAAATATGCATGTATGTATATGTGTAGACATATATAATATATATGACGTTACATATTTAACATTTTGAATACTTTGGATTTGGCTTGTAGTATCATATATGGTGTATTTGCATATACATACAAATTCATGAATATATATATATATACATTTATAACGATTATATATGTATATCGCCTTGCCGCCATGTCACACTCGAAAGATGATTGGGGCGCATGGTCCCAAGAGGAAGGTGCAAGTTCCACTTCCACTGTGGATGCCCAAAGCCAAAACGATCCAGAGGTTGGATGCTTAATCTTCCATTTTTCAGGCCGTTTCACTTCAATGTAGTGACTTACGTGGACTGTTCATTTCACGTTACTGGAAAGGTCTTGCCTTACGTAGGCGGAACATGTTACGCTGCTAGAAGGGTGTTGAGTTACGTAGAGGGAACATGTTACGTTACTAGAAGGGTGCTGAGCCACGTAGTTAGAACATGTTATGTTACTATTACGTTACTAGGAGGGTGTTGACTTATATAGAAGGATCATTTCACGTTACTGGAAGGGCGTTGCGTTTCGTACACGGATCATTTCATGTTACTAGAAGGGTGTTGACTTATGTAGACGGATGTTACTAGAAGGGGGTTGAGCTACGGAGACGGATCATTTTATCTTACTAGAATGATTTGTTTCGCTCACTAAGTGGATTTGCGATCGCGACCAAGTCAATTCACACAAGAGGCATAGACAGTTTTTGGATTGAAGCAAGGAGTCCTTGCCAGTCCCAGTTTGCAAAACGGCAAGCCCAACCCAAAGCTTCTGCCGTACGTCCAAAGCACCCATTGGAGAGGAAATGAACTCGTACAACCTTTTGGAATCGGTCCGCCCTGTAATTTTTGCAATTATATATAGATACTTATTTGTTCATTTGTTTACTTATTTATTTTTATCAATGTTTCTATGTTTGATTATCAATGTATCTGTGTTGCATCCATGCATTTTTTTTCAGAGTACATTGGTGCATTATAATATACCGTTTGAATTCAGATTTATTTTTGCAGATATTTACTCGTACATATACACGTATATTTACTGTCAACGTCAAAAAAGTGTGTGTGTGTGTGCGTTTACGTTTAAATAGGTACATATTTATGTATCATATTTATATATATATATCATATTTTTATATATTTACATAGGCACATATATATATATATATGTATTTACATCGATATATATATATATATATGTTTTTATTTATTTATTTATTTGTTTATATTTATTTATTTACACACATATTGATACAACCAAATATTTACATGTGTTAAGGTATATCTACATATTTTTGTTTATCTATTTATATGTTTTACTTACCTATTTATGTATTTAGCTACCTATTTATATACCTATTCATTTACCTGTATGTATACATATATTTGTGTGCACACAACATGTATATAGAATATATTTATGCGTTTCTGTATTTGCACAATTTTGAATATACCTACACCCAATTGATTGATCACCGTTTCGAGTAAGGACCATCCTGCTTCTAGCGCGGACCCGGAGGACGGCACGGTGATGTTCGATTACAATGACGTAAGAATAAGCCATCCCCAGGGGCCCATCACCACAAATGGGTTGTATAAACCATCCCAAAATGGATTGCATTACTTAAATAAGAGGAGGTCATCTTGGTCAACTCAACAAAATGTTGATATTGGCATATCGTCAATGATCTTGGTGGGAATGGGTTGATTTTGATGAATGTAAACGGGTTTCAAGCAACAGCTTTGTCGGGATTGGTGTTTTTGGGAAATTCACAGGGATATGATTTTTGGTTTCATGGATGATGAATATGACGGTACAAAACAACGGGGAAGATAGCAATCCCCAAGAAGATCATGATATATTGTGACGCGTGCATAATCGAACCAAGTGTCTTTTTCGGGGTCCGCAGATCAAGTCTTTGTGGGATGATTTTACCTCGTGTTCAAACAAAAGCGCTATTGCGAATCCAGAAAAGTTGTCAAAGTTCTTGAGACGTTGTCATCGCTTCACAATAGCTGCCATTGTGTCAAAACCCCTTGCTAACATTCTCGCTTGATTTGTTCGGACTGGATTGCATTAGGAAACGGACGTTCCATTGGCTCGTAGCAGTAGCACTAGCAATAGCAATAGCAAAGGTGGTGGTAGTAATAGGTAGTTCCACCATTTTTGATGACTAAATTCATGGATTGTTTTGCAAATTGTTGATGAATATTGTTCCTATCCAATGAGCCAAGCACCATTTTCTGTCAAATAACCCTAAATGCAAGCTAAATCATTTGAATTTTATATAATTGAATCCTCAGTTTTAATCCATGGCGTTCCCCATATGTTATCATCCTTTGCCTTAAATTTTCAAATTGCGGTTTGCGGCTATCCTCGATTTTCAGCCCGAATCACCCCACTGGCTATTTTACCAGTCAGCTGATCTTTCCATTCTGGGAGGAGACTGTTTTTTGGGAGCCGGACGATGCCAATGTGCAGGAGCTTGGCGATTGCCGCCATCGCCGGTGGTTGATGACGGGGCCATTAAAACTTGTTGTTGGTTGATCAGCAAAAATCGTGATTTAGGCATCACCTACCTCCAAACAACAGCAGGATTTGATTCAAACCTTGTGATGTTGACCCAACAAACTTAGAAGTGCAACTAATATCCGGTTTAAGATGTTTGTCTTGTCATATACCTCTCTTTGCGTTGGGCAAATTGGCCTTTCAACTCTGGCCCTGTGACCTTAATGATGCTTGGGGCTCCCCGATCACCGAGAGCGGAGATCGTTTAAGCCCGTAGCCATCCGCAACATCAAACAAAGCATGGGCCTTAGCAACTTCCAGGTGCAGAATCTACAAAACACATTAAAACACAATACCTTCCCACCCTGCTGATAAGTGTATTTGAGTTCATCGCCCCTATCGATACCCCCAATTTATATCCAAACATGTGGAGAAAAAAGATGAAAAGCCAGTGCCTTCTCCGCTGGCAAACAAACAATCCCCAGCACAGGAAAATAAATCCAAACAGCTTGGGCAGTTTCCATTACGGGTTGGGTTTGTCGGCGTTTGAAACCCCACCCCACAGTGGCCCATAACAAGTGGCGCCAGCTTTGCCATGCTTTGCCTCACTGAGACGTCGGCGATCCACCACCACCACAGACCAGCAACGCCGATACCCGGACAAACCTTAGACGGCCCATTAATTGCCTGGAAGGATAGGTCAAGTTGAACATGAGATGAAAAACACATAGGAACACAAGCGACAGCAGCGAAGAAAGCCAAGAAGCGATAGTCGTTGGCGTTTCTTGTTGGCTTCCTTTTTTGTGTGTGCCCCAAAAAATGAAGATAATAACAAGAACAGAAACATAAAAAAAGATTACACAAATTTCAAATGTTGACCTTAATTATCTGCATTTTCAAAATGGTTTGCAGAATGGTATTAAGCGATTACACTTGCATGGGCTAATTCGGATATTTTGATGCTGATCACTCTTCATGGATGGTCATCAATCTCACGGTGCATTTTGCCTCAGAATAGGGGACTTTCGTGGGTGAATTTGATTATAGTGGATGGAAGAAATCATCGACCTGCACCCTCCCCCAAATATGGATGACGAAACATTCAAAATGAGTTGACCCCCGGGAAGTTGAATCCCTCAACAAAATGGCCCAGATGCTTGGGGGATTGGCTTTCAGAATTGTTTCTACCCAGATGTTGGGAACAAGTCGGGAACAAGTGGAAACTCGAAAATGCTGCGAAGGCATATAGTTTTTGTTGTACTCCCATTCTTGTCTACGGAGCTAATATGAATTACCTCATGCTGACGTGTAGTAAACCTTTGGGCTTGCCATGTTGGGTTTTTCAGCTTGGACTGACGGGTCTGACTCAATTGGTCGCAAAGAGTAGCTGGATTTTCTTAGATTATCATCACAAAGACTTGGATTATCACCTAACACAACCAAATATCATCAAAAAGCATCGGGTTGAAAGTGTTTCTTTGATGTTTGGGTGTACTCTGAACGAACCTTCCAAAAATCCCATGCCTTGGAGACGGGTCTCAAGCATCATCACCTCTTGGATTTCCCTTTGAGGGCCCCACGGCTTCCATGGAATCTAACACTCAAGCTGGCAATAAAGGAGCGACTTCAGCTGCGGCCGTCTTGTGATCTTGTGATTTTGTGATTTGCCCCAGGAGGGCTACTCTACTCCGCTTGGATCTAAGATCTTAAAGAATACCCCGCTCTACAACTGCATGAAGGAGATCCAGGACAGCGGCTGCGCACCTGACTCAGCAGAGCTGCAAGCCATCGTCGTCGGTCTTGGCACTGTGCCACTACACCTTGGCAGCATCCGATCGATCCGAATCCAGAAGACGTGCAGACAGCTGCGCCCATCCATTCCGCCGATCCAACAGCGACATATCCGGGTTGTTTGATGCTGAGACGTGGGTGCAAACGACGTGACACCAAAAATTGACAGTGGTTTTTGTACAGTTATGCGGTACCATATGGTGGGTGTCTGAAAATGGGGCCCATAAAACAGTTTTAAAGATTAAAATGATTATCAACCGTCCTGTTTTGCCTATCCTCTTTTCAGACAAACTCATCTCATGTGGATGACAATCCTGACCGCTATGGACGATCTCAAAATCTCGTTTCTTCGCACATGGGACCCCAAAATATGACTTGAGAAATGTGCAAATCTTCTGCAAAAAAGCCATATTCACAATCCATAATCCAGATATTTCAGGGTTGTTGCCCCAAGTACTGCTTACCTAATCCTCTCGTCAGCTGGGTCATCAAAGTATTCCCAATTGTCTATTATTCTGATCATGATTGCCATCATCATCATCATCATCATCATCATCATCATCACCATCATCATCACCATCACCATCACCATCATCATCATCATCATCATCACCATCATCACCATCACCATCACCATCATCGCTATTAACATGTTTTTGTCATGATTGTAGTCATTATCAGTGGTGTTTTCAGTACCTCGGTGATCTCCCCAGGATTATCAGCTGACTCCGCCCTATCGTTTACGGGGGCGTTGGTTGCTCCCTGCGTTGGGTTCCCCGGTGCGACGCGGCGCTACCCAGTGCCATTGGGTAAACCGAGTGGTGAAAGGATTCTCCATGTTTTTTGTTGGGGTTGATGTGGTTAGCCAGTTTGATGGGGACATCTCATATCTTAGTAGAGATGGGGTATTTAGAAGATCTAAGGTCTAAGGAGAGGCAAGGAATAGAAAGTGTAGTTTGCTGACCTTCCGCCCACTTGTGCGAGATTGAATCGGCTGTATTGTGTTGACCTTCTGCCCACGTGTGAACCTGCAGACATGGGTCAAGAAGTTCCCCCCAGTTTTCCTCCAGAATGTTCCAACAAAGCTAACCAAGTTTTTGCCAAAACTGCCAGCGGCAAGTGAAATCCCAATAGAATTTCTTCAAGGATCATCCCCATTTAAGAATTATTTCCAGAAATCCCAATCATTTGCGCGTTCCCCGTTTAAGAAAGATCAACGAACTTCTGGCAACGCTTCAATTCTCAGGTTGGAACTGCGAGAGCGTTGGCAACAGCCTTTGGTCGAGGAGGGACTTCACAAGATCGGCCGGGGCATAGTGGGATACACTGGGGTATACTGAGGACGGATGCCGGCCGGTTGCTTATTTTTAGATATTGTTCGTAGGTAAATGGAAATCTAACCAAACAATCTTTGGGGTTTTAGCAGTTTATTGGATGGATTAATCATTAGAATGGGTATAACATGTATAAACATCTCACCAGTTTTTTTGGGAAATTCATCAACAAAAATGGTGATATCTTTGATGAATGAATGTTAAAATCTGGCGAAACCATCTGCATCAATATGTTGTCCATCTCCTGGATGATGATCAAAATGGTGCCTTTGCTTTTCGGCTGCAGAAGAAGCAAGTCTTGCGGGGGTCCTTATCTATATTTCCTGGTTTAACGAAAATCAATATCACTCAATTTTGTCTCGGTTGTTCAATATCCAAACTTAAGGAACCCCTTTCGTTTGAACTGACAAAAGTTTGAAGGCCACTAACCCATCAAAGACACGGCTCATGACTTTCTAATGAGAATCCAGCGCCACAAATCCACTCACTCTGTTTAGTACTCGCCCCTCTGAAATTGGGCAGATGGGGTATCGTTTCTGGGGTGTAATTGTTTCAAATCAGCTTCGTGCATTAGCAATACTCAGCCAGACGACAGTCTCTATCCAACACGGTTCAAAATGATCATCTAATTGTTGCCCATGATTCAAGAGGTTTTAGGCCACGCTGTGCGTCCCCATCAGAAAAAACACCATGTTTGGGTCAAAAGCCTAATTTCCTTCTATCTCAACCAGTTAGATGAAGTAGCTTGAAATATCACGAAGTCGACCTCACCAAAGATGCTTTGTGAGAATAGGCATCCCAAAATGTATTTCCACCTGGAAAAACGATGAAAATTTCGCCAGACTGCCGAATTCCCTCAGGAGTTCGTGTTTCATCCCCTGACCCCTTGGAGTACCCGAACGTTGCCCGTGCCGGTGCGCTACGAGGCTGACATGGTGGAAACTTCCCCAGAATCAAAGGTGGTGGCGATGGAACATGCCCATGTTTAATGGGAAAAGCAGAACATCCCGCCGAAAATTGAGAGTAGACATGGTTGAGGCATCTGGGTGGGATAGCCACGAGATTGACAGCAATTATCAGAAACCAGGAACTTTTCATGGGGTTGCTCCAACCCATTATAGATACATCATAGCCACAAGTAAATTGGTCATTTACCCCCATATTTAGCCAATTTACCCCTTGTACCTCGGGTGTTTGGAGCAACCCCATCCTGCTTCAATCAGTCTGGCGATCGCAAGGGCCCTGTCATTTGGGCCCCCAGATGATCTTGCTGGTGCTGGTGTGTTGTCACGTGCCGTCTTTGACCTTGGCTATCCAGTGATCAGAAACATCAATATGTCGAGACGGACTGGACCACGGCGATTGTCCCGGGTCTCTACAGGAGATCCATCGGAAGGGTCACTCTTCGGAGGCAGCCGCGGTTTCCCATGCGATGGGCTGCGCACTATACGAGTCGGAGGGTTGTGCTGGTTCGGACTGCCCTGCTCTGGGTGTTCCTTTCTCGAAGCTCGCGCCGAAACAGACTTTGGCCCCTGATTGATGGACGACCTCAGGTGATCCCAGCAGGAATACATCGTGGATGGGATGGATAGATCCAATAGATAGATACATAGATTGATACGTGTTCTGTAGGCATTGCCGATATTGTAGATGTATTTAAACAGGTATGAATGATATATATATATTATATATATATACATATATATTATATAATAATATTTTTTATATTATATATATAATATGTATATACATATATATATGCTGGTTTCATCAACATCAGCGCGAATTTCTTGTCACCATCCCGCTGCAGGCCATGGTGAGATATCTGCAGCAGCGCCGCTTCTTTCAGATGAGGACTGGGTGTGAAAGTTGCTGAGCATTCAACAATCATTCAATGGATTGGCTTAACGGAAAATTGACAGGGAAACCCTATTTCATCGGGGAAACTATATGGTTTCCGGTTTCGATTTTCCTTTCAACCAGTCCAGTGAATCATACCATGTTTAAAACAGGGCTAGCTGGAAATTCCCCGTTCACGAAATGGAGGTTCAGTTCGCAAATTCATCGAACTGACGGATGTTCCAGTTTGCCACGTTTCATTACTGGATGGTTCATCCATGAATAGGGATTTAACCATCATAAATATGCCATGGTAGAGGGATGGGCCTGGGGTGTGGCTAGCGACATCCCCGAAGTAAACGGGGCTTTTTTTGTGGGGAAAAATCATTTGTAGATGGGAATTTCCGTGGTGTGACTGCCAGAGGGTATCATGTGTTTCGTATTTGATCATCTTGTTTTGGGGAGATATTTCTCGGGAATCTAATGCTAGGCCCACAACCATTGAAACATTGCATGATGAATCACTGGATCTTTTCATTCTGATGTAAAACTTGAATTTTCAAGTAAAGAGTTCAGTATCCATGAGAATCAATCCCTATAGAATTCTATATGTTTTCCAGCTACACATGTGGGACCCCAGAGTCGTACTTTCAAAATCTATGGGATCCCTAGAATCAATCCCCAACTTCTCCGCCAGGCCTGTGGCCTTGAAGCAGGCCCTACGTCATTCCCTGGAGATCACCACTTCCCTATGTTGGCAAAGTTTACAGCGATGTCAGCGATATGATTGGATACACCAAAAATTACCATGTACAGCCAGATTATTGGCCAAATCGTTGCTTAATCACTGGCTAATAATAATTCGGTCCGCACGGAAATTTTATGGAGAAAAACATTAAATGTTGGAAGAACAGTCGCAATACAATAGAATACAATAGAGGTATTGATATGAAGTGATATAACCAGCAGTACGAGGTATATGGGGTAATTGGTATATGGGTATGGGTCAATACCTATAGATACATTTTTAGGGGGATGACCATCCATTTACCAGCAATTTTGGGGTTCATGAGGGGTACAAGGTTTTGATCCATACCCATATAATGGTTATACATAACCAATTATCACAGGGATACATGGATTCTGACACCTTCAACATATGGGCATCATGGGGGTGTACCATCCTGCAGTGGGACACAGGGAGCAACTTGATATGGCGGGTTCCATAAATGGGGGTACCCTATATCATCCAGCTATTAGATTGGGATTTCCATGAAATACGCCATCCAGCTATTGGGAATCATCCATTTATGGAACCCCCCATTGGAGATGTTTGGAGTGTGTCAAATCAAGCTAAACTGGTACTCTAACACGCCCAAATGCTGAGAACTGCAGTGTCAGGAATCGAGAGGATCAAGAAAAGGGCCCATGGCCATGAATTCGACAAACCTGCGTATGTTCCAAGGCAATGAGCATTTGAAGACTTGATCTCTGCAGAGACCAAGTTTGGGTCAGAAACTTGAACTGTCCTTTGCACTAAAAATCTATCGCTTGGAGAATCAACCCGTAATATGCTTATTCAAACGCTGGACCACCCAGCCGCCCAGGTAGACTTGCCAGAGGGTATTCTTTCGCTGGACCTGTTTTGTTCTGGATTTCAAAACATAGTCTTGTCAAAACACAGGAAAACCACTGGATCACGGTTCCTTTTGAGCTTACCATTTTAGAACATATAAACTGTGCAATCATCATGTTCATCAACAAAATCAGCATTTTTTGGTGCATACCCTATCTCGAGAATGGTGGACCTCAGATTGTGCGGGAGGTGCTGAACCATTGGCAATCCCAGACTGCTTTGGAGCAGGCGGGGGCAGCTCTACACCCGTGGATCGGAACCATTTGAAATGGGCCAGTGATTAGGGCCAATGTCTGGAATGTATGAGGTTAACTACCGAATATCTGGTGGTAATATATGGGTTAATGCGTGGTTATATATATATATACATATATCATACATATATATATATATGTATACATATTGTACACATATATATATATATATACATATTGTACATATATATATATTATACGTATACACATTATATTCCAATTCCAGTTGAGTGAGTTATATATGGGGTATATAGTCCATCTATCCCAGTTGAAATGAAGCACTTGCACAGGGGCAGTATCTGCTTCCCTGGGGAAATCCATCGGCCAATTTTCACCCACAAGGTTAGCATAGGGTGGAATTTTGTTTCACACAAATGGGAATTGTCGCTGACAGAAAGTAATGCTTGTGAATTGAGTATAGAATCTCTTCCCCCTAAATCAGATAACCGATTTCACTCCATCTACAGATCCTTGGGGTGGATGGTGGGATAATCCCTCTGCGGTGATGGGGTCCAGTCGCAACAATTCATAGATGGTTTTGATCGCTCACAAATGGGGATACGACCATGAAATGATGAGGATATGTACCCTCTGGTAAACTAACGTAACTATGGAAAATCACCATGTTTAATGGGAAAATCCACTATAAATTGCCATTTTCAATAGCCATGTTAGTTTACCAGAGGGTAATGAATCCCTTCCCCGGACATCAAACGCCCCAGAGACCCGGAAGGTGATGAATCGCTGCTGATTCTTCGGGAGATTGCGATTGAACCAACTGTTGGGTTCAACCGCAAAAATCCATGGTGCGTTTCAGGAGTTCATAGCAGGCCATGTTGGTATGTTCAAGCGAGACACGGATGATCGTTGTATTTTAGGGAGATGGCCCGACTCCTCTTCGCATCCTGAGTAGCGCACAAAAAACAACCGCTGGATGACCCGCCCACAATCTGGACGGTGGCGGTTGTGGCTTCTAGAGGCAATCACACTGCAGCTTTGAATTTTGCAGGTTGAAGCACAGAGACATTGCGAATTCTTGGATGGAGCTCCAACACATGGGAATCTATCGCCAAATCATGGATATTCCGAGAGGACGCAGGTGTTGGAGCAGGAGTTCCTTGGCCTTTTGCCCTCAGATCCCGTTGTTCATCATGTTCTTCACCCCTTCTGGTCCCAGGCACATCAAAAGCTGAAAAATTGGATGAAGTTTCCATGTCAACTTGGGCAGGGGTGACTTTGTTGGGGACATGTCTTGGTGATTGTTCGATATTGATATTGGTTGGTCATGAATCTGCATCCCTCAAGAATTTAGGGGAAACATCGATGTTTTTTGTCCATCAATCATATCTGAGCTATCTTACCAAGGTGGTGGTATCTCTCATTTTTAAATCCTCGATATTCACCCATATCCCCAAAATGTCACACGGTTCCGATAATCTTGTTCCATTATTCTCTCCATGTTTCACATATTACCCTCTGGTTCTTTAACACTTTGCAACGGCATAGATGGCCCCTTTATAGATGATTAAAATGATGTTTTACCTTTAAAAAATGCTGTCTTTCCGTAAACTACTGTGACAGATCATCAGATGGTATATCCCATCTCCTCTCCTTGCTGGTAAATCCTCCACGATTCCAGGTCCGCAGACAGCCAACCAGAAAGAGCACCCGAAACATGAGCACTTTGGAGGCGGTGGAGCGTCCGTTTGTGTCTGAAGATGGGCAGCCCAATCAGAAACGGGTATGGATCAATACCTATTAATACCATTTTTAGGGGGATGAACATCCATTTACCAGCTATTTTGATGTTCACCAGGGGTACAAGGTTTTGACACACTGCCAAACAGATCATGTCTGGATGGGTCAAAAAGCACCTGCATGTTTTTTGCTGATTTTGGGGATGGGTTATGGCATTGGATCTACCCGGATCTACCCTGCAAACAGGCAATGGAAAGTTGTCCATTTATAGTTGATTTTCCCCTTGAAACCTGTCGAAAGATCATGCATATAATGCGAAATGATGGCGCAGATATCTACAGCCAGCAAAACAAATTGGCAATATAACTCATTTAGTGTTTTGGATCCACAAGAATTGGATCTTTAGTCACCCAGTTGACCAACATTCTTGGGGCGTGGCTCGAAGACAAATGGGTGCCAAAGGTTGATGAAAGTGTGGCACTAAACCCGAAAATCACCCTTGAGGCCACAAGAGTTGCAAAAGAACTGGGTCCCATAGTCATTTTCCCCTGCATAGTTCTTCGGTTTTTTATTGTTGTCAATCATGCCATCTGGTTTTGTCTGAAAATCGGGTACCTCCAATTCCAACGGAAACATATCATCGTCCCCATGAAAATGGCAATTTCGGCTACTCGTAGTCCCCTTCCGGACAAACCCAAGTATCATATCAAGTTGGTTATATACCCCATGTTATATTCCTGTCAGATCTATATTCCATTGTGTAGATTCCCATTATCACTGGTTAAACACTATGAAATCATGATCCCATTGACCCCCATTAACTAGTGATAATAGGAACCAAAAACCAATCGTACGTACATCCCCATCTGGTTGGTGGTTTCAAACATGTTTTATGTTCCATCATATATGGGAGAATCCTTCCCATTGACTTTCATATTTTTCAGAGGGGTTGAAACCACCAACCAGCCATTATATTCCCATTAAATCTCCACGATATCCCCAGTAAACAACAAACGTCAGCAACGTCCAGGTCAAGGCAATGGGCCGAGGGCGAGGACACATAGGTCGCGACTGTGACATGTCCTGCTGAATGGGGCTATAAGGGGGCAAATCATGGGAAAAATCATGAATGTTCACTGAATTTTCCCTGCTTATATATCCATCCATCCATACATAAATACATACATATGTATGACAGTGAATTGAAAATGATGCTTGAAAGGGCTGGTTGAAAGGTAGTTCTTTCGAAAGTGCGGGTAAGGTGATTGAAATATCTGCTGAAAGAGCTCCAACAGGGTCGCAAGTTTTGAAAGTTCAAAGTTAGAACCAATTGGAACCATCTTTGAATATGATCAGATCAAGGGCAAAAACTCCACGTTGCATTCTCCAAGTTGGTTGACTGCCCCCTGCTGACCACGAAATCGCTTGTGCAAACCGAATGGGGTTGATCGGTTTTCCCTCTGAACATTTCTTGTTGGTGGAATCACGTATTCAGAAATCCAAATATCGCTGAATCATTCGATTTCTTTGTTTTCCCATTTTGGTGATATCCCATTTTGTTTGGTGAATATCCCATTTTGTTTGATTTCCCATTTACTTCACCTCCACTTTCTTTTCCATGGGTTTTCCCAAATGTTGTAGGCGCTAAGTCAGCCTCCATAGCCATGTTTACCCCTTGGGTGTTTAAAATTCTGTACCCGAAAGATTCCTCCTTCTTAGATCACATTCATTAGTTAGATATCCTTCCCACTTCTTTTACGCATGAGGGCACAAGATGAGCAATCTGCTATGGACTTCTTTGTGCGTCACACTACAAGTTGGTTCCTTCTATTCGCAATGTCGGATGGGACCGCTCCGGATTTTGGGCCTAGCTCCCAAGGATTCGTAGCTGCAACTGGCATCCAGATTCCGGACATTCCGGAGACTCAATCCAGATCCAGCTACAAGAATGGACCCACCTTTGTTGAACACCTATTGGCTTGGAAACAATCGTTTGATCAATATGACAAACGAGGAAGCCACGCAAGCACTCGCAAGTTTAGGACAAGTTGTAGTCAACTTGTCCGTGCTGCGTTTACTGCTTGCCGTGCCCTTGCAGGGAAATCTGGAGCGCATCTTAAAATTACAGTTCACCAAGTTGGCAATGTAAAGCAAATGATCCAGTGACAGTGCCAGTACCACACAGAGATATCAGAACAGTAATTGCCAGATGATAGCGCCCCATAGTCGGTAGCAATGCGGTTCCTGCGAAAAAATAGGACCAACCCCCGTACTTTTGGACGAACCCTGTTGGCTCAAAATGTCCCGCACTGTTAATTCCTACCCCGATGTCCGGTTGATGAAATATCCCCATGTTTGGCAAGTGAGATCTCCCCATCTTTGGGTTGAAACGACCAACTCAACCATGTTTGGATTCTGCCAAGTGAGAATCGCATCAGGATTCCACCAACCCTTAACGATGACCGCCAATGATAGATGGCTAATTTTTGCCCTGATCAGTGGTTGCTGGTGGTTGCTCAGGTTTCCAAAAGCCGTTCAACAGGAGTGTGCAGTCACCTGGGTGGTGGTATCTTATCATCTCCCATAAAATATCACCAAAAAAAAAAGGTTTGGTAATGTGCCTCCAGTATCTAAAAATCAATGTGTGCTTTTATACCTCCATAACTCCTCAACAATGGTATCTTATCACATCAATCCCATAAAATATCCATCACTTTCTGTTAAAAGAATATCCCATCAAATATCCTATATATCTTATTAATTAATGGTTAACTTATGTCATTTTCGTAACATCACCATGCCGGCGCCGCCAGGTCTTGCAGCGTCTTTGCGCTGCAGGTTACGTCAGGTCATGGGCCCATGGGGTCAGATTAGGAATGCGATCAGTTTCAGTAGATGTTTTTGGAGTTTCTTTCCAGGTACCCTCTGGTAAACTAACATAGCTATGGAAAATCACCATTTTTAATGGGAAAATCCACTATAAATGGTCATGTTCAATAGCTATGTAACAAATTACCAGAGGGTAAAATTTCTTGGGTGTGATCTACTACGAGAAGTGGTTCATTCTCAGCAGATGGGAAATCAGCCATCTGCCACCAGCAAATCCAGCACGCTTAGAGCAATGATTTTGGGGGGGCCGCTAGCCCCCATCCCCTGGGAATAGGAAGATAGTGGAATAAAAGTATCATAATTTTACCCGGCCACATATAAGTAAACTGAAGCTTGACTTTCATTTCAGAGGTTGCAATTCGTTTTTTCACTCCGGAAAATGCTGGTGGAATGATCCAACTGACTTAGCTGGCGGCCTTTTATGGGGCGGTCACCTGCAAGCCATTGCTCCACAGATCATCCCAGTATGATGTGTAAGAATTGATCGACCGCAGTGTAAACAAAGAAATGACTGCAGTTCTGCGAATGATTACTGCTAGGTGCTTTCAAGCACCATTTATTTCTTGGAAAATTTCAAATTTGAATAACCGCATTCATGACAGTGAAATCACGTCCACGCACCTGTAAGAACGGTCCTATCCAGGCGACAGCCTGGCTCCAAGCCGTGTCCATCGATCGGTTAATCAAATTTATAGCTGGGGCGCATTCCAGTTGGTCAGTGGCTAATATCCTATTTTGGGGTATATCCAATATAGAACTGGATTACTCGTACCATATTAGTGATTGCCCACTCAGCAACTTGTACATCCAGGCATCGATTGGGGACGCACCCGTCCCGGACATTCGGACATTCCGCGTAGGCAGTAGAGCCCGCTCCAGCCGTCACCGTGCGGCTCAGGCGATGTGGAGAGGGGGTGGTTTGGGATGGGTTTTTCATCATCATCATCATCATGATCATCATCATCATCATCAATTGGATAATAACTAGTGATGATGATCAATAATCATAATGATTGGATATAATTGGAATATTGATAGTGATAGTGATGGTGATACTATAGCAATAGTGTTAATGGCATTAGAAAACTCTTCATCATCTCCCAGCCCCAGGACTGTTTTGATTGGTCGAAACTCTTTCTTGCAGGCGTCCCTTAAACCACTTCTTGGAGTATAAGTTCCTTATCATTTCGTAAAAATTGTTGTTTTTTTGAAATATGTTCAACCGTGCAAGGACGTTTATTTTTCGCATAATCAACCGCGATAGTCGCCTCCACTTCTCATGATTCATTGGATTCGTTTAGGGTACATTTCCCTGTTGGTTTGCTCAACAAATATGAACCCAGAAAATCTCGCCAGTTTTCAGTGCGTTCTCCGTATCTCTCCAATTCTCAGCTCCATCTGGCTATGGCTCACCCCAAAATGAATAGATCCCATTTCACACACCAGGCTTTCGAGGAGTAATCCCATCCCAAAAAAAACACCCCATTAGAAACCATGGTTTCAGGGAATTTCCACATAGGGACCAAAAATTGGAGGTGTTTAATATTGGGATGGGAGTATTTTGTGATTCCACAGTCGGCCAGGCCGCCCTATGCCACAGAAGTGGCTGTGCTGCTGGTGCTCTTCGCATGGTTAGCCTTGGGTGTGAGGCGGCGGGCATTGAAACGTTGCGGCACGTTGCGGTGGATGGTGAATGGTAGCATCAAAAATCGATGTGTTTTTTCTTGATTTCATGAAACTGAAGAATTCAGTAGCAATGAATGCGTTCACATATTCAAGCAATCAAAATGGTAAATCCACTGGTGAACGGCTGGTAAAACTGAGTCCATTGCTGGCCATGGATCCCACTTGGCAAAGTTCTTTTGATGGGTATGTACGGGTTAGTCAGTCTAAGTTAGTCATGGTCATGCCAACAAATACGTGGGAATTGGAAATACGTTTTGAGGATTTGTTCCCAAAAAACATGGAATCGGAACGGCACTGCGCGAATACTGAGAGACTGGTCAAAAACTGTCGGAAATGGACATCGAAAATGGACGCTTCATAGCAACAAAAATGTGTTTGACACAGATCCATCTTCACATCTTCACAGATGGCAAGTCAATTCTGGCCATTTCTTGTCTCAAAGTGTAGCAATTTTCTGGGGGATTTTGTCTCATCCTCATGCTGGAAGTCAGTTTCTCTGGAAATCCCATCAGGATCTTATTCCAGGTATGGTTTGGTCTAAGAATGGCGCGCCAGTAAAATCGCTTGATGGTCTGTGATCATCTTCCCATTTTGGAATGTACCCCATCATATGATTCCAATGGGGTACCTATTTATGATCATGGTTCAATTACGAAAATCCACCTTTAAATTGACCCCATTTGGAGATTCCCTGCATTAAACCATCAGTTCCAGCACTTGCATGGCCGCTGCCAGACCCTTCTTTTGGATGATGATTTGCTGCCATCTCTGCGCCTCGGCGGAAGAAAGAGTTTGGTCCCTTAAGTGTTGGGACATCTGGCAGTTTTGGGGGTTGGACTTTGGGAGAAGCGAAACACATCGAAACAGTCCGGAGATCAATATGTATATATATATATATATACATACTATATATAAACATTATATATATATACATGCTATGTATACATATACCATATTATGAATCCCGTTGGCACCCAAGATCATTGGGATGCTCAAGACAAGCGAGCATCCAATCTGGCCATGCGCAATGCCGCCCGGCCAGGCTCGCGGTGGTTCCCATTTCCCTTGGTGGCCGCAGCGGCAGTGCCCTGGTGTCAGTGGGACTGGGCGATGATTTGTCTGTTTAAGTGGGTGTTGTCCTCAATCAAGTGGGGGTTATGCTAGAGATGTTAGGAAAGCAATGATTTTTATTATTGCTTTACCAACATTGATTGGATTACATTAGGTGTAAAGCAAGGGTTTGATCCCCGAATCCATTTGAACTCGCGACACCTCTTGGAACCGACCAAGGTTTTGGCCAATTTCCTTCGGTACCAGGCCTGACAGGGAACCTTCGACCTTGCGGCTGACCAAGGGTGGATAACATTGGAAAGCAATGGGATTGGCTTCCACTATGCTGAAATCAGGGAATATCCGGATTTAGAAAGTGAATCCAAGTGTATCATCATATGATATGTCATGCGGACCTTTAGGATGCCCGGATGCCTTTTGGTGACCCAAAGTTCCTGGTGTTTCAGATATGGAAATTGGTCAAAATGTCAGGGAGTAATTTGACTCGCTTGTATCTTGTGTGGTGCTTATCCACCACCAACTATTTCCTAGATGACAAATACTTGTTGACCCGAGGAGGGACGTTTGGATTGTCGACCGATCCATTGAACTGTCTCCAAGCAACACTATGTTTGATGAGCGGAAGCCCCTTCGATGCCATGGCTGCTTCGGACTGGAACCAGAGCCCACTTTGCCTTGTTCTGATTGGTTCAAGGGGAAACCTGCAGGGGAGCAGGGGTTCTAGCTGCCCTAAATGTAGGATTTTCCTGCCGATTCTCCCATGAATCAAAAAAAATCCCAGCCTTCCCCGAATTGGTTTTTGTGGCAAAGCTTAAACCGGAAACTCCAACATATTTGGAGATAAAAAAACTGGTTTCCAGCTAACATGTTCCTTACAACCAAACCCTTTTATCCGCATCAATCCCAATTAATCCCATTCCCATTTATATGTCCCATTTCATCCATTATATCCTTTTATTAGATTAGATTAGATTGTATTGTATTATATTACATATATATATATATATCCCAATATTTATATATATATATCCCCATATTTCCCTACCCCACTGTCTCTTCCAATCCAGGTGAAGCGTCGTTTAGCACGGCTGCAGATGATGCGAACACGGTCACAGCTAGAGGTGCCCGGTTGGGGTGGCCTTGAGTTTTGCCCACTGAGGACTATCCTCTGGTTATTTAACATAGCCATGGTATAGATGGCCCATAGAAATAGATGGTTTACTTATTAAAAATTGCGATTTTCCATGGCTTTGTTAAATAACCAGAGGGTATGTTCTTCGTGGATGTGCTTAAAGGACCCTCCAAAAAATATATGCCAAAAAAAGAGCCCCTCTTTTTGTAGCGGATTTACCGGATTTTTTCCAGAAAAACCAAGCATTGACTCAGCAATTCCAGTATTTCCCAAAGATTTTTGAGAAGCTTGGCCACTGCCAGAGCTTCCCCCGTTGGCTCAACTTTTGATGTTTTACTGGCGGTTTCAGAAGATTGTTTTGGAGGAATGTGGGGTTTTTATAATGACAAACTCTCCCCACTTTTCTCAATCATCCCTAAATAGTGGTATACCCTCTGGTAAACTAACATGGCTATGGAAAATCACCATGTTTACTGTGTAGATCAACTATAAATGACCATTTTCAATAGCTATGTTAAATTACCAGAGGGCACCCACTAAACCACAAATTGGTGACGGTTTATCATTGGAGATCCTCCAACAGCCCCATTCATAACCCTTAAAGGTGCCATTAATACCCGTTCGTATACTATAGTATAGGGTTAAACTACCAGTGATATCGCTTAAAATTGGGGGGCCATTAGCTTAACCCCGATATCGTTGCAATTGCGATAGATGGACCCTCTGGTAAGCATGGCAACATGGAGGAAATCATCCATCATTTTGTTCAAAATAAGCCCAGCCCAGCAAAGGTGGTACCCCGTGGTAAACTAACATAGCTATGGAAAATCACCATGTTTACTGTGTAGATCAACTATAATGACCATTTTCAATAGCTATGTAACAAATTACCAGAGGGCATAATCCCATTTTATTCCCATGATTCACCATTGTTAACCCATTCTTAAACCATTAAATCACCATTAAATCACCAATTTCCTATGGTAAGTGTGATAGCAACCAGTGAACATCAATCCTAGCGAGGTGACCTATCCCGGAACCCACATGATCTGGGCTGAGACCGCTAACGCTGGTGGGGGAAAATCATCCAATGGCGGATTTTGAGCTAACCAATTGAGCCAATAAACATACCATTGTTGATTGGTGATTGGGAACTTCTAGCAAATTTATTGTGGATTCTGATATTCATAGTAGTTGATTACAACCAATCAATTGCTAATAACACTACTTACAACTATAATCTCACCAATATGTATATATATATATTATTTTTACAATAAGAACAATCGCCATGTTTTGATTTCACAAATCATCAATTCGACATACAATTCAGATCTATTTCTCCAGGCCGATGGTTTGCTGCTGCTGTTGCTTCTCCTGGGAGCTGCCTGTGCAGGTGCTTCACCGACCTGTGAAATTCGCAGGACAAGTGTGGAGCGAAAATAAAAATGCCATGTTACCCCAGATCAAAACTGACTGTACCTCATGAAAATGAGCTCACACCATACAAATTTGGATTTGCCTCTTGAAAATTGGGAGATCACACGGTAAAAAGCCTGGCTCCATAGAAACCATGAGTTCACACATCAAATTGCGGGGACACTGTGAAACTGTGAAGTCCAAAAATCCACGTCCAAAAATGAGCTCGCGCAACACCCACAGGCACCGGGCAGGGCGGCCTAAGTTTGTCATCACCTCAGCCGGATCAAAGCTGGGACACTGCACTGCGTGGTGGTGGTGGTTCTACCAAGTGGTTCCTATCCTCAATGGATTGGTCGTGTTGGGAAAATCTTAACCGGAAACCCATGGGTTTTTACCATCAAATTGGTTGGGGGTTCCGGTTTCAATTTTCCCATCATCCAATTCCATGATATCCTGGATCATTCTGTATATGGTATGTCCGACGGGTGGTAAGTCAGAATATGAATTGGTCCATTGCATTCTTGTTTTGATTAGACTTATAAGCGGTTTTCATGGCTGCCAAGCCACATGCTGCTGCTGAAAAACTCATGTGTTAGTGGTTCCTACCCTGTGGGAATCAAACTTTGTGGAAGACCCGCGTGTTTAGTCTGAATACCACATATAAAAAGATATCATTGATAAATGTGCATCCCAGTTGTGATAAGTGGCTATTTGCCATCTGAAACAAGATGAATATACCTACTCAGTTGTATAGATATGTGTATATGTATTATATACATGTATAGATATATATATGATATAGCTCGCTTATCTTGACAACTTATTCGAGGCCTGGGTCCCGGTCAGGTTTGAGCTGCGACCAGGCGGCCTTGGCAACCTTCCACCGCCACCTCAGGTGGGGCCAGGAAGAAATCAACAAATCAACAAATAAATAGTTGTGTTAACATCATTTAAAAAAACAACAAAATTAGTTGTGTTTATCATATCATAAGAAGAAGCTTTGGCATGTGACACTGATCCCAGATAAACTACCTGAAGCTTTGGCATCCCAATGAGCTGATTAACGTCGGACAAGCCCACTTTATCAAGCGCTGTCCCATTGATCATCTACTAACTAAGCCCCGGCTAGAAATTATGGGCTTGAAACTGCCCAAAACTTAACATAGGACTCAATTGGGATAGTTAGGACTGTCCTATTCAAAACTAGATGTGGGGCACATCATTTGGAACCACCAAAGCTCTCTTGAACCCACAAAAAGAAAGGAAGATGCTCCAAATCTGATTCGGAAGTTGGGGGACTAATTGGATTATACAACTTAGTAACTATACAGCCTTTTCGGAAAACTATTCACTGCAATGTCATAGATATTTTTTATAACTATTATATAATCGGATTATATAACTATTATGAATATGTATATATATATATCATAGAAATGTTCCGTTGAAAAGCTGAGTGTTTTTTGTGTCCGCTGCAGGAATTGGATGCCAGCCCCCCGCTGGGCTTCATCTTTTGGCTCATGTGCCTTGAAAAAAATGGGTCGATGAGTCGATCATCAAAAAAGAAGAGTTGGGAATTCAACAGGATATCAATGGTTAGTATGGTTGATAATAACCAAATGATTGTGGTAAATGTTATCATCTGGTCGATAAATGTTAATTTAGTAGATTATGTCATAACAATATTAATTAATCTTAATCTCCAGAGCTGGTTGAAATGTAGTAAACTAAGAATAATGAGTTGGGGATTCAGTTCTGGATATCAATGGTCAATGCTCAATGTCTGGGCAACACCTATGGCAGCTATGAGGAAATATGTGTTTTTTTAATGATCATCCCATGTGTAAATGGGGAACATCATGGGGGACCAGTGTGAACAAGCGTGTAATTAACCATTTTTTCATGGCATGTTTTATGGTTCCATGATGGTAGAAACATGGCAAAAACATTAGGGACATCCTGATGATGTGGGATTCGCCCACATTACATAGGTCCAAATGTTCACAGGTTGGGCCTTGGATATCATCAACAATGGGTAAACACCAGAAGTTTTTTGGGGATATGGAGCAGTCGTTGGGATATCAGGATATCAGATATTTTCACTTGGTTCATAGGAAAGTCAGGATCTAGCAATCATTGGGATTTGGCGATCTTTTGCTGGTTGGTTGAATTATGTGTTGATTTCTTCAGCTTCCCCAAAGTGGTGATTGGTTAGAATGGGGGTTATATTATCCAATATATTGAAGATCATCACAAGACAGAAAAGCAGAATCCTACTAAAATAGTGGTGAACTACTTCTCCCGCTTTTTTAGGCTTAGCATGAGATGTACTTAGTTAGTTTGATCAAAAGTAGTGTATACCATTCAGTTTTACCACCTTAACCTCCAAGGTACTGAGTTGAAGTGAAGGGCCCATCAATATTTCCTGGGCAAAGCGTCGAAAAATGGCAGAGTGTCCACTCCCAATGTGGTAGACCAGAGAGGTCCAGAATGCCGTCATCAATTTCATGGTGATTGCTTAATTTTGATGGGAAAATACCCAAGTTTGTCCTCAGTTTAGCTTTGCCCAAGGTTTGATGATCTACCTCTGGACGAATCATAACGACATGACCGCGGCGTCATTGGAGTAATGATTGGTGAATCATTATAACTTATCCAGATGCATCAACTCATTTATTCCCATATTTTAGGTGGGTGAATGACTATAAGTTATCCAGATATCAATGGCCATTTCAGGAATATCCCCACAAAATATGGCCTTAATTGTATGGTACTAACGTACCTCCATTTTAGGATCCTGAAATTCTCCCATTGAAGATGCTATATATTGTACTAGCCTAACACTATTCATGATATCCCATAACTATTCATGATAACATAGTCCCATAACATATTCATAAGTTATCAATGATACTACTCATTTATATCCCATTGATAAACCGACTACATCATGATATCCCATAGTTGGTCCCCAAGAAAATTCCAAGTTCGAAGCTTTGTTCTCCGCCAGGTTGGTTCTCGTATCCTTGGTCGCCATGGGCACAGTGGCACCTCGGATGTGGGATAGATCCCCAACTTACCCGGCCTGGTAAACATACAAAAAGCGAACTGGAACATCACCACTTTATAGCTGGGTAGTCATCAACTATTTCGACTGGGCCATGTTCAATAGCTTCTGTGTTGGTTTACCAGAGGGTACTATGGTTATATAACGAATATCCACATATTTTTTAAGGTGTGTATGGCCACAGTTGCTGAATATGTTTGTTTAATCCTCTGTTCAGAACCTGAAGATTTCTTCCTCGTGCCTCAGCAGCAGAAAATATGGCCACATTGATTGGATTATATTGTGAGTGTAACCGGCACAAAATGAATGGTAATTCAACACGACGGGAGTGGGCAGAATACTATGGTGAATGCTAACCTCCACAAGTCGGGATGTGGGGCCCAAAAACATTATGGTGAAATAACATCACTTAGTTCATTGGAACTGCCCCAAGTAGCTACTGTAAGGTGAACCCAATAAACCATCCCCAATCAATTGGGCTTTGGGTATACCCCGAAATGTGATGCAAAATAACCCCCAGTCATGGTTTCTTAATGGATTGTTTCTGGCGGGTCATTACAAATTGGTTGATTGACGCATCTAAGAGGGGTTATCACGAGAAATCCCCATCTATTGGTTAAAAAGTGTCGCTGCTGTTGGGCACGTCTACTAGTCTACACACAATCTCGAAAGCGACGTCACCATCAACGATGTTTCTGGTGAATCAAAAACGGTTTGATGTTTGTCACATCTTACTTCTGAGGAATCATAGTGGCTTGCCCAATGGAGTTTACCGCTGGGGGTTAAATCCCGTTTACATGCCTCAGAATACTGGCCTAACCATGTTTAGTCCATCTCTAAGTGATGGTCTGTGACGACCAGCTATACCAAAAAATCTGGATACTTACCAGGCCCAGAAAAGTTCCTTTTGGAGGTGGTTGGTGGTTCCAACCACCAAGAGTGGGTGACAGCAAAATGTGTGATTTCACCCACCAACGGAGTGATGATTTCATCTTGCTCCAGGCTAAATGCCCTGAGGATTTGGAAGGCACGGAGGGTGGGTTCTGGGTAAATCGACGAGCGTTTCAATAGTGTATGTTTCAGCACCCATTGCTGTTTTTGCTGTCCCAAGGACCGTTTCCGTACACAAACTTCCGGTGGCTCTGGATGATACAGATTCCAAGCCTAACTCAGATTCGAAGGTGTCAGCACCTGGTTGCAGCCTATGTTGGACAAAGGGGAAGCGGTGCCTCCTCGGTTTCAGTACTGGCGTTGGACGGGGTATGTCCGCTTCGCTGTGCTGGTGTTCGATACGCGAATCAGTTGAGCGGATTGCTACCGGAGGATGCCACTGCAGAGAATCCTGATCCGGAGTCGGAATGTTTGGATGAACACCTATCCGAACGATGCTGGGCAGTCACCGACATTTTGGCGTCAGCGGAGGATCATGAGTTTATGTGCCCCTTTCACTGTGAAAACTGGAAGTTTTGTCACTTCGTGGAAGCGGGCGTTTCCACTCAGTTCCATAGTTAAGTCCCAGTGAGTCTCAGTTGTGGGCACTTATAACTCCACTGAAATATCTGGCCGGTGACAACTGGCTGTAGGACCCATCTTCCAACCGACACAGTCAAGTGAGGAGTTTGACTTTGTGGAGGGATGAACTGGGAGATATCGGGGCATCAATTTTCGTCACCCCAAAGAAAACGAAGAAAAGAGCAGTCTTTCCCGACGCAAAACTTGAGAAGACACTAGGTTCTTAGTTAAATCCAGATCCCTTTGGTTACCCCAGTTTATTGCTCTGAGTTTGTTGGTAAACAACCAAATGACAACTATCATTCTATTGATGCATCAACCAATATATCCCCCACGCTGCTGTAACCAGCCTCTACCCCAATAATCCCCGATATGTATTTATATTCTACATCTATAGATACATATGCATATAATCATACATAGACATATACATATACATATTCACATACATAGACTTTTACATATACGTATACGTATACTGATACAGATACATATACATATGTACATCAGTTATAGTACAGTAAAAGATAGACAGATCGACAGGCCGATCAATGGAGAGATGGAGATACACGGATAGACATATCGATGTTTACAAATTTATCGAAAGAGTAAAAAAACAACAATACTCAAATCTCCATCGAAATATCCCAGATTTGAATCCCGCCAATTGCCATGTTTGATTACTGGAGAGTATATTCCAATCGTTTTCCCATTATATCCCATTATATCCCTATATATATATATATCCAACCATTATAACCCTCATAACCAATAATCCATATATTTCCCATGTTCCATATATTTCCCATTAAAAAAACATTATAACCAACCATTTCTTTCCTTGGTTTGGTCATCGGAACCTCGGCAGGTGCTGATTACTGGGCACCTCTGCGGCATGGCTGCGCTTGGGCGTTCACAGGACAGGAATTGCTGGGCGTTTTGGTGGGATCAGCGAGATTTGACCTGCAAAATCTTCCATTTTACCAATGGTTTGATCATTGAAACGATGGATTTTTCAGCTGCCAAAGGTGGTTGGTTTTACTACCCAACATTGATCGGGATTACACCAGCAAATCGTTGATTGAATCATCCAAAATCAGGAACTGATCAAGTAAAAAGAGACATGAGGATGGAAGTGAAGGCATCGGATAGGACCACCAAGAAAGACGCTATAAGCAGGGAAACTCAGAGATGGCAAAAAACGTTCGATGATGTTGGATGTCATTCACCGTGGACCCCATCTTAAGCTGCCCGCAGGCGCCCTGCTGTGTTTTGTCGCTGCAGCACCCATCTTTGCCTAGTTCAAAAGACCGAAGCTGCCTTTGTTCAGCTGGGTATGTTTTTTTCAAGGCGATTTGTTGGAAGAAAAAAAACATTTCCACCACAAAAACCTTGGGAGGTGCCTGCGGTATGCATTTATAAAGAATCTCCACAGTTTCCAGCCAAAATCATGGCCAAAGCTTTTGGGCTCGAGTTTGCTCGACCTCTTCATACTTTTTGGCACCTCGGCAGTCAAAAGTTTGACCCATAAAACATTCTGTTGGGTGAAGATTGTCTATGTTATGTTGTAGCTCCTTCAGTGCCTCAAGTTTGAAGCCATCGTATGCGGATGGGGGATGGACATCCAGCAAAGCGACCTTCAACTGACCCATCGCCTCATATGTTTGAAACGCCTTTCTGTCCTGTAGAGACACTTGATAAAGATTGATGGAGATATCAATTGAGAAATATATATAATATATAACAAATATAAATTTATACTGTATGTAGAGAGAGACAGAGAGAGCTAGAGACTTGCGGATCTATGCGTATACTCTATATCTATATCTATATCTTTGTCTACATCTATAGAATCTATATTCATGTTTCAATCTATCTATCTATCTATCTATCTATCCATCTATCTATCTCTATATCTCTATATCTATATCAAGAAATATTCAGACAAAACAGATCCGCAAAGCTACAGATCTTCACAGAGACCCGTCCAAGGCACAGCTGAGTGCCATGGCACAGCCTGAGGTCATCGGATGGGGATATCACCAGCAATTTCGCTATAGCATGGTATAGCTGATAAGATAAGGATACATATTTTACAGATAGTATATGTATATATATGTATAAATATATATATATGTATACATCTATCAAGATTAATGATATATCCTTATATCATCATTAAATAGTTGGTACCAAGAACAATTGAAGGGTATATTGGTACCAAGTAATTTCATGTCATTTCCCCCATGTCATTTGTTCTGGCCACATGCTTTTTTCGGTGGGTGAACTGATTGTTACCCTCTGGTCCAACATTTCCACCGCCATGTCTATCCCCAGCTAGGCCGCATCGCTCAGCAAAGTCCCCCGTGTTTCGTGCTTCAGAAATTTCCCGTTCATAGGTCATAAACAGACGTACACAGTCATAAACCCATTGATGTGTTGGTGAATAATATCCCAAGTCTATCCAAATCTGCTGTTCAACATGTCCAACAGTGCAACTGTTGGTTCACCTAAATCAACTTATGAATACTTATGATATGATTACGTCACCATTAAATAGTTACATTATCCAAGTCTATGTTTCCCATATAAAGTATCATATTGGTTCATGTTTCAATGGTGAGTTATCAACTATCAACATGGCAAGTTACATTCCCTTTATATGTCCCATTAAATGGTCTATGTTTCCCATATCAACTAGATATTCAACCTGATGTTTTATATGTGTTGAGTTAACACTCATGATAAGTTACTACAAATTTTCAATAGTGAGTTACCCTCTGGTAATTTAACATAGCTATTGAAAATGGCCATAGAAATAGTGGATTTTCCCATTAAAAATTGTGATTTTCCATAGTTATGTAAACGTTTACCAGAGGGTAACCATGTTTCTATGTTTCATCCCAGATTCCGTTGATGACTGCCACCAGGGGCAATCCCACAGAGTCTTTGAAGCTCGTGGCCAGGTCGGAGATGGCAACGGTGAATCATCCATTTCCCACTGGTTTTGCAATGGATTGGTTTAGGGGAAAATTTACAGGAAAACCCCATCTTTGATGGTAAAAACAATGGTTTCCTGTAAATTTTCCCTTAAACCAATCCATTGATGGTTAGCAATGGATTAGTAATGGATGAACAATGGATAATAATGGATTAGCAACAGTTTAATCATGCAGAATGGAACATTTAATGGGATACAAATTGGCAATCAAACGTAGCAATGGGAAATCCAATCTATAAATCAGCCATTTTTCCATTGTCACGTTTGACTACTGGAGGGTAGCCATGTGGAGGCTAGGGGCCCCATGTCACATCCAAATGGTGATCTGACCAATGACGAGCTTGCTCGACCACTGTGGTATAAACCAACCAAACATCATAGGGAAATGATCATGATCTTGATAATGATCACGATGATAACGATGATCATGATGTTGATTGGCTAACTATGCCACTTGGGTGTGCTTGCACGCACGTCCAAGTACCCCCTCCTTTAAGCCATTTCACCACTTGATGATCTGGTTTTTTTTGAAAATATTGGGGAAAGCCTTAAATCCACTGGTTAAGAATCATTTTCCCAACATCAACCATTGCCATTTGGTATTACACCCCATTGCAGACATACCGTGATCTTCGCAGGGGCCAACACCCGAAGAAATTGACCAGGCACCGAAGTTTGGGGGTCGACTTGTGATTTGTCCACCATCAACAATCTGGGATTTAATCAACAAGAAATTGGTCGGATAGAGTTAATATAATATGGTGAAACCGAGTGGATGTATCCTTGGTTTAGCACAACTTGGATTTTGTTTGCTTTGAATGGTGATATGTTTCGACCAAACCAATTCGAATTTTAGAGTTGTTAGAGGTATCTAAGTTTGGCCATGGATGTTGATACACTCACACTCTTTCATGCCCCAGGTGAGATTTTGGTGATGCCAACCTGAACAACATTTCTTGCCTAAGTTGGAAATCTGGCAGGGCAACATGTCCAACTAAGGAGCCAGTTCACTGTAGTTGATGGTTATCTTGTGTTTTTTGGTTTTTGCTAGCTGCCAAGTACATCCCCCTGGTTGTTGTTTTGGGACTTTGCTTCTTGGTAATTGTTGGCCAATCTCCATTTCTTTTGCTTACCTTTGCAACCATCTCCAACCGGAACTGATATCCGCAGTCGATTGTTGATAGCCCCATTGATTGTTGGTTACGATTCTATGCCCATGGATTGATTGATTATCTCCCCAAACTGACATATATACAGTATATATATACATATATACATATATATATATATCCCAGTTTGATGATTGTGTTTATCACCCATTGATTCTATCCATTTTTTTGATTTTATCTGACATTGATAGCCACCTTAAATAATGATGAACCGAGCTGAAGAGTTTCTAGGCCAAGCGTCAGCGCATGGAAGAAGCCCGCCAGCAGGCGCATCTTACACCATCAGTTGGTTTGTTGCTAACTCCGTTTGGTGTCAGCAATAGCCCTTTTTGAAAGTGGATTATATCCATTATATGGCTACTGTCCCATTATATGGCTAATGATAGCAGTATATCCATTATATCCCACTAAAAACATCCACAGCAAGCCCATTTTCATTGGTATCCCATCACGATCTTGGGGAACTACACAAGTAGCCCATTGGTGTATCCCCATCTCATTGTTGGATACCCCGTGAATTGATGATGACACGTTTCTTTTGTCGACTATCCATTGATACCCCCAATTTTATTGCTTGTATCGTCACTGATGGGTAAATCTCCCCAGCTCTTGATTGTTGCCATTGATATCCCCACACATTGTTCAAAACCTCTGTTGGTTGCTGGTTACTTTGGGGTTGTACTACCATATACTCTCCTCCATATTAAAAAAAAAACATCATCCATGACCTGGGAATCCCGGTCTTCAGAGGCCCGCCGGAAGAAGGAGTCGTCAGAACGTCTCAGATGCAGAAGGGGGTTCTGAGGTGGAAAGGACCTGGAAAGAATTGGTGACTACGTAATATTATTGTTATGTATGGTATGGTTCACAATATGGGATAATAAGGTTTTAAGCAACATGGTGGTGGTGACAATTCATGCCATTAGGTGTTAGACATGTGGATCTTAAACAAATATATATATGGTATGGTTCATAATAGGGACATCAGGGGATATACTGGTACATAATGGGGATAGAATGGTGTATAGATGTGTATATATATATATACATCAGATATGTTTGCCACCAACATTACATTTAAACTTGTATCAAGAAGCGGAGAGTTCCCATTTTGTGACAATTATGCTGGAGAAAATGATGATAAGCCATTGCATTTGGGGATTCCAATTTTGAGACAACCCCATACAGATCTTCATCATGGTATGGAGATCGCCATCACTGGGTAAAGGCTAAAGTACGACCCAAATAATGCCATCATTGGCTAATTAACTAGTTCCATCAAATTAACCATCTTAATTAACATCCAATTCTAATTGTGGATTCCCATTATGGAGTTTGTTAATTTTGATTGGAACTCCAAAGTTTCTTTGAGAAAGGCCTCTGGAGAGTGGTGAAACGCCTCTCAGGGTCTGATGCAGTTTTCTCATCAAGCACAGAAGATCCCCCCATTTTTCACATCGATTGGATGAAAATTGGGGGGTTGTCCCACTGCCGGAAATCACCAGAGAAATCATGTTAAGCCCCCATTTCTGTGGCTTTAAGTTCTGCGTGGATGCTGAGGACTGGTATGGATCTTCCTGAGGCACAGAACTGGCACGGGGCCACCATTTTGTGGGGTCCATGGCTTGGATACCCTAATAAATGTGTGTTTTTTTGCTGAGGAAAGCGATTATAAACCATGAGATTTTTGGTGTTTTCAGACAACCGGATCTATGTATTCCGGAAACACATAGATCTGACGGCCACTCCAACCCCTTTTCCGGCACCGCATCCTTTTCGTGTGGATTCACATATGTGGTGTTTTCTTTTTATGGTCGAATAGTGGCTTAATTGGGGTCTCATTTGACGTTTCTATCCCCATGATCGTCGGAATGTCCCCAATTGGTGGTTTCCTGTTCAGATGCAACAGCTTTTTGAAGCGATGGACGCGAATCACGATGGAGTGCTGTCTCGCAAAGAGTTTGAGCAGGCTCCGATGGAATCACAGGGGTCCTGGAATCACAGGGATGACATAAAACTTGGCAGATATACACATAACAAAAATACATTTAACCAAGAAGGATTCAACTAATGCGTGAACTTTCACCAGCAAATTGGGATGGGAACGCCTTGAACAGGGGGTATCACCACAACCAAGTG